CAGAGAGAGATGGAAATGCGGGGGGGGTCGTACTGGAATCACCAGGCTCTGTGAGGAAAGGGAGTCATCTCCCAAAAGGGAGTTTCGCTCTTCGCTCTGACCTGTCCTGACACAATGCTCGTGGGCTTTCCTGCTAGTCGCACACGAGCACCCTTATATAGTGGGGTGAGCACCGCTGTCAAACGCTGTTCTGGTGCTCACATCTCCAGATCAAAACTACCCTACACAACATCAAACATGAGGTTCCTGCCACCAGTCCCACCCCTCCTTCCAGCGCTGTGCCAAAGTGGACCCCCGTTTTGTAGGGTTACGCTGACAGTTCCATCTTTTATAAAAATTTTCGCTTTGATATTAGAGTGATGTTGGAGAAGCTACCGCGACCTCCGTAACCGAGGACAATCGTGTCATATGGGTACGAAACTTAACCAGTTCTTCTGTGAGTATTCAGATTTTTGCTCCGAGTTGCATTTCCCACCCACACCAGAATCCTATAAAAGAGGGACTGAAAAAGGCTATCATTATAAGGACTATTTTACTCAGGGGAGATTTGAGAAAACCAGAGCAAGATCGACTCCGTGTGGAGTTCCGTTTTGCTCACTGCTGCTTTCACAGGGGCTCGCGATAAGGAGGGCACAGAAAGCTCAGTTTAGGCCAAAGGTTTCATCCTAAGGGTAAACCCATTCTATTCTATGGCTTACTGCGCAACCAGAGTCCGTTGAGGGGTGTGTCCTTGTATGGCATCGTTGGCTTTGGGGAAACCACTGCTTCAGTGGGCGCGACAGCCACCACTAGTCACTTCGAGTACAGCTAACCGCCCTATATTGTGCTTGTGCAGCCACAGCGTGGGCGCGAGGTTCTCAACTATTAGGTTGTCCGGAAAGTTCTGCACGTTTCGAGTGTTTCACTTTAAACGATCATAACTTTCTTAACACTCATCGGATTTAATCCAAATAAGCACCATTCGAATCAGCACACTTTGCCAATGTAGACAGCAGGGATCCCACAAGCAAGAAAAAGAAAGTGGGTGGCTCATGAATCCCACGAAATTACGAAGTGCTTTTTTGACGCTGGTGCCTAATTGATGAAGTCTTTTTACAGCAATCTATGCTTCAGAAATGTTTGAAAAGGTGATAGTCGGTTGGTGAAAGGTCTGGAGAATATGGTGGGTGTGGTAGAACTTTCACCCCCAATTCGTTCAATTTATGGATAGTGATTTGTGAAACGTGTGGGCGGGCGTTGTCATGCAAAAGAATCGGGCCTTTCTTTTGATAAGTGTTGGCTGCAGCTGACAAAAATTTCGGCAGCACATTGTCGTCGATCCCTTCTACAGCAGGGGATTCTGCTGTGATCGGTGTTAGCGCTGTGATAAAAAGTTATAAGTGAATACAGCCCAGCCGATTGACCACGCAAGGCGTGACCAGAGTTTTTCTTCGTGAGGTGTTCGGGCTTTTAAAAATTACCTTCCGGTCGAGAATCCAAACGCACTGTCGGCGGAACGTCTCCTGTATATACATGAGCCCCATTTTTCATCACAGGGACAATTTGTCCAAAAGCAGGGTCATGTCTGGCTGGCGGCAAAAGCCCAGTGCAGAAGAAACCCCGAGACGTGCAATTTATTGCACGGTCACTCAACGTGGGCACGCCACTTATCGAGTTGTGTTTCACCCTTGCCGATGCGTTTCAGATTACCATGCTCTGCAAACAGCACTGATTTGCCAACAGCTAGCTGTTGTGCTGCCAATCTCTCGAACTCGTTTGGGATGCGGCTCAACATCTCGAAAATCCCCTGAAAACTCTCGTTCAGATTATTGCCCTTTTACGTTTGACCGCCTATGAGGTTCAGTTCTCAGGCTAAATCTCCAGAATGAAAATTGGCTTGATGAAGCGCATTGCCGCACAGGTGCTTCTCTAGCACTATTGGGCCCACGCACACCATGCGTTGATTTGATTTGACGGCTGTTTCGATGGGATTGCGCCCAATTTATAGTTTTCGACAGAAAAAATCGTTCCGAAGTGACTCTTTTACATGCTTGGAAAAAAGTCAAAAAAAGGGTTCATCCAAGCAATTGGTGAAACAGCGAGTTTTATATCCCAGCATTCAGATAGCGCAAAGAATTCTCTTCAGGATGTACTACTGAGACGCAAGGGAGAATGAGTTTTTAATCAGCAATGAATGTGCAAAAAATAGTAACACAAAACCTGCAGAACTTTCCGGACAACCTCATATCATTCCTGGCATAGGGGTGGTGATGGTGATCTACGTTGCGGTAATGCGGTGTTCTTTAGGGAGGGGGGGGGTCGCTTTGCAGCTATCGCACCAGGACCTAACTGATTTAAAGAGAAACTGTACATTCAGCTCCGTGGATCCTGGTCCTTGCCATGCTTCTGCTCAGGGAGTCCGCAACTATAGTAGCGTGCCACTTTCTCAGCCCAAGACTGTATGGGAACGGGGCTGGAGGATGGTGATGCACTGCTGATGTCTCCACAATCCGCCGCATGGCTCCATACGACCAACCACACGCCTGACCGTACCCAAAGTCGCCACTTATATGCGCCCTCTCGCTTCCGGCTCTTCTCGACCACTGAGTGCATGGTTCTCTACGCATTCTGGTATCAACGCGCGAATGCTGCACATTGATGATAGCGCGGGCGGGGTATGGAGACGGCGCTTGGATCTAGCTTTTCTCCAGTCCCGCTATCGTGTCCTTTTGACTGGAAAAAGTGGCATGTAGCCAGTACTGCAGGGTAATGGGTGTGGACCTATTCATTTTTTCTACCGCTTCTTCCCACTAGATCCACTCAACTGATCAGTGTCATCAACCCCATACAGTCTCCTTTCGAAAACCTTCTTCTTAATCTTATATGGTATGGCTGTAGAGCGCTCAATTGATTTAGCTGAAGAGAGTGTGGAAAGAATTTCAACAAAATAAAAACTATAAGCCAGAATCGTATACGCTTGTGGCATACGAAAAGAACGAGCCAAAAAACAGGTATTCTCTTTAGTGTTCTTTATTACCTGGACCGACAGTTTGGGCCACCATGCGACCAAATCTGTCATGATGATTTCATAATCATAAGCCCAACCAGATACAACGACATTCTCTGCATGGATTCAACAAGAGTACGCCTAAAAGCTCGTAGTGAAAATGACGACTACATTCACGCCAGTTGGATGACAATGCCTGACAATCAGAAATACCTCTGCACACAGGTGAGCTATTTATTCTGGACCTGGAAAGTCCTTAGCATTCGAGAGCATCAAAACACACCGCGACGAGCACGTGCAGCGCTTGTTTTACAGTTGACGATGGCTAGTAAAAACGCGTCTTTAGTGAACCAAATGGTAAATAACTCGTTCGCCACCAACGCACGTCATGGTTAGGGTTAAATTTTTCGCCTACTAGGACTTGCACCTCCTCCACCCCCTCCGAATTTTGGCATGGAGCGCGTCTGACAGCATGTTTGCTCACTGATTGTCGACATCAGCTCCCAGATCTGACACAGCTCGGCCACGGGGGACATCATGTTATACCTTTGCCGTTTCCCATCGTCGTGTCGAGCCATCGAGCTTAACGAAGCGCTTTATCGCATGGTGGTTGACGGCTTTGCTTTTGCTCCGCTACACAAGAATTCACAGGTTTCACCAGAGTGAGACTTCGTAAACCGGAACTAGTGGAGGTGTGAAAGTGCAAAATTGCCCCTCCCCGTCGCCGAACAGCGTCCCCAGATCTGATGCTCGCGTAAACAGTTCTGCGCGAAACAGTCTATAAATGCTGTCAAACCTTATCCTGTGGTACGACTTCCTTCCACAGCTGTGTGATCATGCTGCCGAATTTCGTTGAGGGGGGGGAGCTGGTAGCTACATCGGTCTCGGTAAACTCTGGCAGGGCGGAGAACACAGAAGATTTTCTCACTGCAAAATACGAAGGAGAATGAGAAATAAGACATCTCCCCAGGTCCGGGTGGGGAAGTTATCGTACGACCCGCCGTGCTCGCCTTCCCAGACCGCTCCCTTCCCTTAGAAAATCAGATTTCTAGCTGGTAGGCTGGCACATATGCTCCATTCCGTGCCCGTTCCACTGGCAAATCCGCTCGGTGCGCAACAATGAGACGCTCCTCTCACACAACATTTATTCTGGCGACTCCCCTGCG